TGGCCTCAGGTCAAGCAACAGGGGGTTTCCCTTGTGGCTCAGCTGGTAAAGAATCCCCCTGCAATGCAGGAGACCTGGGGTTGATCCCTGGATTGGGAAGATCCCCTGAAGAAGGGAAATGCTACCCACTCCAGTATTCTGGCCTGGAGAATTCCATGGACTGTATAGTCCATGGGGTTGCAAAGAGGCTTTCTTATCTCTCCTTGATATTCTACTTGCTATTTGTCTACTTAAAGAGTAACTTAAAGACAAACTTAGAGTTACTAAAAATACTATTTTAAAAGACATGGGAGTGACAAATAATATGGGGGTGATGGTTACATTCTGGGAGGTAGGCATTGGGGAAGAGAATGGTAGTTTCAATTGTCTTGTTCTAATTATTTGGGTGGGTGGATTCATATATGTCTATGTTTTGTATTAACAATATAAGATGTTATGCATCTGTGTATATAAAATTCAACATAGCAAACAATTATTAATATTTAAAATGACTCAATGCAATGAATAAAACCCAGAATGAGTACTTGTACAAAGTTTATGACCTTGACCTTCAAATAAATAGCAAGAAAATGGAGTGAAGGGATTTTCTTGTGTCAAACAGACCTTAAGAGACATCTGCTCTACACATGTGGGCATATTGTTGGGATCTTGATATGAGCAGATCAGCTGTAAAATAGCAATTAAGCAATTGGAAATAGAGTGGGTATTCTGTACCTAAGCAGAATATTAAAAAGCAGAGACATCGCTTTGCAGAGAAAGGTCTATAGTCAAACCTCTGTTTTTTCCAATCATACAATGTGAGATGAAGTGTGTACGGTTGGTCCATAAAAAAGGCTGAGCGCTGAAATATTGATGCTTGTGAATTGTAGTGCTGGAGAAGACTCTTCAGAATCTCTTGGATTGCAGGGAGATCAAACCAGTCAATCCTAAAGGAAATCAACCCTGAATAGGAAAGGACTGACGCTGAAGCTCCAATGCTTTGGCCACCTGATGTGAAGTGCCAAGTCATTGGAAAAGACCCTGAGGCTGGAAAAGATTGAGGGCAGGAGGCTAAGGGGGTGACAGAGGATGAGGTGGTTAGATAGCATCACCGACTCAGAGGACGTGAGTTTGAGCAAACCCAGGGAGATAGTAGAAGACTGAGGAACCTGGTGTGCTACAGTCCATGAGGCTGCAAAGAGCCGGACACAGCTTAGTGGCTGAGCACCAAAAATGTTCTGTTCTTAAGGAATTTTTGTTAATCATTTTAAGACACTATTATGGTGATAGTTATTTTTAAAGTGAAAAAGTCCTTTACTAGGTTTTTCCAGATGTACTGTAGCATGACAGGTGGTGTGTGGGGGATTTATTGGTACATATTTGAGTAGAAATAAGATTAGGTAGGTAATCATACTTGATAAACTGATACAGGCTTAGGGAGGTTGATACAATTTCTCTAGTTTGGTGTCAATATGGAAATTTGTATAAAATCAATTTAAATCTGTTCTATTTATTACTAAAAATTTTGAAGATGCCCTTAGAAGTCTACATGAGTTCTGTTGGCTCTTTATCTGGTACTTAAATCAGCTTTTAATAAATAATGAGTACTGGATTTCATAGAAACTATTTCAAGCATAATAAGCATTTTTTAAAGGTTACATGAAAGAATTCCCTGGTGATCCAGTGGTTAAGACTCTACACTTCCAATGAAGGGGGTGTGGGTTTGATCCTGATCAGGAAACTAGGATCCCACAGGTTGAGTGAGTGGCAGGCCAAAAAGAAAAAAAAAGGTTAAAAGAGAACTTAAACTTTAGCTCATTTTTCCCTGTTGGCAGAAAAGTCTTAAATTCTATATGATTAACTTATAAATAGGTTGTGTGGAAGTTTTCTTTGAAGATAGCACAGGTGGTTAACTTCTTTTTCTCCTGTTTCTGGTCTCAAAAACCTCAAAGTTTTCTTTGAAATAGCACAGGTGATTAACTTCTTATTCTCCTGTTTCTGGGGCTGTTGGTCTTCACACAGTAATTTTCTATATTCCCACTGTCTTCCCACTGTAATCCCACCGTCATTTTATTACATCAGCTGTAATAAAACCATTGGGAATGTTGGTAGTTTCTGCATGGTGGATCTGTGAGTCTTGGGTTTTCGTCCCCCTCTCTGTATTATAACAAATGTTAATTTAACTGTCAATTGAGTGCTTCTCAGCTGCCAAACAGTGTTCCAGGCTCTGAATGAGACAGTGAACAAGACAGCCTAACAAGTTCCTGCCCCTGTGGGGTGTGATCCTTGTAATAATAACTTGGGTGTGTTTAGGAGGAGGTGAAATGCCCGCTTATTTTGCTGGGAGTTAAAATTAAACTCTAATGATTCTGTGATTACACGGGAGAAACAAATACCAGTATCTGTTCTCTTGACTCTTAGGTATTTAGAATTTAATGTAAATATAACCTAATTCTAAAAGCTCAGATGGGAGATGGGAGCTGAGAAAACAAAGTGGGAAAACACAGTTCTGGATGTCAAAATACTGTGCTGTTCTTGGTCGCTTCAGTCGTGTTCAACTCTTCGAGATCCCATGGACTGCAGCCCACCAGCCTCCTCTGTCCATGGGATTCTCTAGGCAGTAATACTGGAGTGGGTTGCCATGTCCTTCTCTAGGGGATCTTCCCAACCCTGCGATCGAACATGAATCTCCTGCATTGCATGTGGATTCTTTATCTCTGAGCCACCAGGGAAGCCCGTCAAAAATACTCACTTTTTGAAAATAATCCTGGTGTTTGTCTTAAGTGAAACTTCGGAGAATCAGATAATGGAAACTGGACAGTCAGTTAAGGGAAATAATTATTCTGGTGTAACTTCTAATAAGTAAATAGGTGTCAGATGTACATTTTGAAGAATATGTGGGGAAAACATGGCTAATGGATTACTTCTAATGTACAAAAATTGGTGTCCTATTTAAAGAAACTATTGGGAGCCCTGTGAAGTAGGTATTTGTTGTTGTAATAAAGAAGAATTACCTGCTTGGTGACCTTAACTGTATGTACACTTTTGTGTGTGCATTGGGGAAATTTTTTTAGTAATATATATATATATATACACCCAAAAACAGTCCAATAGAGTTGAATACTGCGTTTCTTAACATTGTGCTGTTATTTCTTAATATGTCAGTTGCTTAAGACAGATTAGTACTTTCTAATGTGTAGTAAATAATTCTTACTTCTTAGTTACGCAGAGTAAATATTTGCACAGTGTGAGTAACTTTTCTGCTTGCTAAAGCAGTACATGGAAGAGTTGAAATCTATGTTTTAGGAATACTTTTATTAGGGTGTATTTTTTTAAGGTTTTTATAGAAGAATATAAAACTTATGCAAAGGCAGAGATATAGTATGCTTCCAGCAGCTTTAACAATTATTAGCACATGATTTATCTTGTAAACAAATTCCAGGATAGGATGTGTAAAATCTAAGACTACCTGGTGTTTGAAAATGTTTTCTTAAATTGACATTCTCTCACTATCTCTGATACTTTGCCCTTGGTGATTATGCTTTGTTTTACTGTCTAATAAAAATAATGTAAAAGTGATTTTTTCCTTCATCCTCTATTTTATGATTACAAACAGGACATACCTGAGTTTGGCTAATTTACATGCTAATTGAGAGTTCCCTAAAGGCGGGCCACAGTCCATGAGGTCGCTAGGACTCAACTTAGCGAGTGAACAACAGCAGCGAAGGGATAGGCAGTGTCCGTGAGATTCATGTAAGTTTTGTGGTGAATGGGAAAGAACCAGACCATCAATGGAATCTGCGCTGTGGTACCTAGAAGTGGATCATTGGACCTGGAAAGGAAAATTAACTGTAGGTCTAGAGGAGGTTAATTATTTCACTTGAGATGTCATGCCCACTTGCTAGTCTCTTTTTAAAAAACAGCTAGTTGACTTTAAATTCCTTTCCCTTGTAAGAGAGTGATTGGTGTGTGGTATCCATAGTACAGTCTCACATAATTCGTGTTGCTTCCTTCTTTCCATCCTCCCTCTCTTACTCTGATAGTTTTGAGGAGGGGATAGAAGAGGAGGAGATGTATAGTATAACAGTTTTTATTATTTTACAAAGATATATATTGTGTTTTATATACATAGTGTATACATAGGAATATGGGTAGGCATTGAAACTCAGGTGGGGGATTTTTAATGGTTTTTTTTTTTTTTGGTACCCTGGATTATTCCTTTGGAAGCCTGAAATGTGTGGACCTCTGAAAATATTTTTAAATGCATAAAATAAAGCACATAGGATTATAAAGGAAATTATTTTGAAGTACAGTTAGAAAATGTTAAAGCTGATAATAACATGTCTTTCTTAACATAAGAAGTAACAAGTTCTAGCAACACAGCTAACTATCACAGTAGTGAATATACAAGATCTGTAACACCTTAATGTGAAATGAAAATGCCTGACTTATTTATATTAATGTCAAGAGTACAAGACATGTAATTCTACTGTGGTTTAAGGCCAGCATTCACTATTGAAGGTGGCTAAATGTCACTTAGGGGATAGTGAAAATAAATGTGACCCCCCCCACCCCACTGCACCCCACCGCTCCTGTCCACCTTCCTTAAATTCTGTCCATGAACCCTTTGGCTGTGATCTCAGATTAAGAACATCTGGACTAAGGTTTTGTTTGCGTTCTGGGACGCTTACTTTGAGGCTAAAGGGTTTGAACTTAGCATACAGTCATTAGATGAAATGTGTTCAGACATTGTATCTGCCAGTTTTAGTGGCTTTTAGAGTAAGCCACAACCATCCAGTGATGCTCGGTTTCCAGTGGTCTTGTGAAACCTCAGTGTGCATCTTGTGATTAACTTGGTCTCCTTTATCTTTCTTGGGCTGTGTTTTCTTAGTATGTATGGATATGTAGTGAATAAATATATCTTAGGTAGTTTCAAAACATCCATGTTGGCTATAAGTATCTTTTGCTTTTATGTTTTTTTTTTTTGTTTTCTTTTAAAAAACATTTTAATTCTTCTGCAGGATTCGGAAACTTCAGATACGAAATATCCCGCCTCATTTACAGTGGGAGGTAAGAACTTCTATGTTTAAAACTAAGATATTAGTATCTAAGCCTGTTGGTAGTTTTTCCGAAGATTTTCCTCCTCTTTCCACCTCTTGGATGTGCTTGAACACAATCCTTCTCTATTATGGTCTTTGTCTTGCATTGGGCTTTTCTTTGTAACAATATATTACTTCTTTGAAAACAATCTGCTCTTTGAGATACTTTAAGAAATTGAAATAGGTTCTGGTGTAACTGGGCAAATTTCCTCATTCAGTCACATCCCACAGAATCTTGTTTGAGATCTTTCTGATGAGTTTTGCTAATTGTATTTAAATATGAAGTTCTCTGTTTGGCAGTCTTTTTTAAAAAGATAAATACTGCTATTCTTTATTTTAAAATGTTACTGTGCTTTCTTTTGCTCAGATGGTGGCACTGTGGTAACTGTATACAAACCCAAATCTTTTGGCACAGTTGAATAGCCTGTGTCAGCAATTTCCAAACTGTGTTGATGATGTCAAGGTGAGAATTTGAGAACCCAGTAGTTGAAAAGATAAAAGAAAATGTCTGTTGACTCTTTCAGATAATGGAATGTGAAAATTCTTAAAACCTACTTTGGAGATGGTAGTGCAGGGAAAACTGCTCAGCTTTTATGTATTTTTAATATAAAAATCAGGAGTAACTAGGTTTGTGTGTTTAACATTAGAGACTCTTCAAATGTCATTTTAGAAAACTAAACTATAACTGTCATCAAAATGCACAGAATGGTTAAAAGATTTCTTTGAGTTGGGGGAAGCTGGCCTGAGGTCTCATTTTCCAAGGTCCCAGTTGGTAACAGGTCACTTATACTCACAGTATTTTGCAGCACATGTATTTTCAGAACAGTATTACTGAATTTAATCTTTGCAGGAAGACTTAATTTTTTGGTCTATCCTGAACATTTTTCAAGTTACACGATGTATAAAAGGTATATTTTTAGACAGAATCAGTGGCTTCCATTTTCTTGTTTTAGTTTAAGGTTTGTTTAGGAAATTCAGTATCTTGAAGGGTGGGTCCCTGAATTGAGTGCTATGGTATCAAGATTACTGGTTTAATCCCAATTTTTATTAATTTATTTTGAAGTGAAGTATTGTTGATTTACAATGTTGCATTAGTTTCTGGTATACAACTAAGTGATTCAATATTATATACACACACACACCTATATATACATATATATTCTTTTTCAGATTAGTTTCCAGTATAGGTTATTTTGTTATTGTTTAGTTACTGAATTGTGTCCGACCCTTTGCAACCCTACGGACTGTAGCCCACCAGGCTCCTCTCTCCACTGGATTTTCTAGGCAAGAATACTGCAGTGGATTACCATTTCCTTCAGGGTATATTCCCCACCCAGGGATCAAACTTGTGACACCTTCATTGACAGGTGGATGCTTTACCACTGAGCCACCAGGGAAGCCCCTATAGGTTATTATAAGATACTGAATATAATTCCCTGTGCTATGCAGAAGGTCCTTGTTAGTTTATTTATAGTAGTGTGTCTGTATTCATTAATCTCTTCATTTTAACATGGGCAGTGTTAAACGTGATTTTCTATCTGGGAACTGTATCTAGTGTAACATAGCTTTCGATGAAAGAGTCAAGTGGTGGCAGCCACTTTTAAGTGAGTTACAAGTGTTCTAGCATATCATCTGTAGGCAGCGGTTGTTGCCTTAAAATTCGTCCATCCTGTTGCTTCAAATTTGGATTGCAGTGGATTCTCAAGCATTGTTGATTCTACTTTTGGTGGCTTCTCAAGCTCTCAGGTCATTGCATTCTTCCTTATTCTGGGTAAAATTTAATCTATGATAATAAATCTTTATTTGTCATATCCAACTTTTTCTTTTATATTTCATTTTACCCTCCCCATAGTCCTTTGAGGTGAAGTAAAGTTGGAGAGATTATCTCTATTTTCAATTGGGCAAATACGGGCCCACAGAGTTCAAAGAACTAAGTAAGAACAGATACAGAATTTAAAGAAGCATGGAACTAGACTTTGAAACTCTTGACCTTTGATCCCTTTGAAATTTAAAGGGTGGTTTGAAATACTGATTAACAAAATTTATTGAGGGTTTGTCAGGAGTAGGATGAACTGTTGGGATTTTTGCTTTCCTTGAAGACTTGAATGAGCACCATTTGTTATTTCCGTTTTGAAGAGTCAGGTTTTTTTGGGTCTTTGTTTTTAAACTTTTTATTTTATATTGGGGTATAGCCCATTAACAATGTTGTGATAGTTTCAGATGAACAGCGAAGGAACTCAGCCATACATATATACATATCCATTCTCCCCAAAACTCCCCTCCCGTCCAGGCTGCCACTTAACGCTGAGCATAGTTCCTTGTGCTATACTGTAGGTCCTTGCTGGTTACTCATTTTAAATACAGCAGCGTGTACACGTCCATCCCAAGCTCCATAATTATACCCCACCCCGCCCCCAGCCCCTATAAGTTCGTTCTCTAAGTCTGAATCACTTTCTGTATCTAAGTCTGCGAGTCTCTTTCATTTGTATCATTTCTGTTTAGATTCTACATGTAAGGGATGTCATACGATAATTCTCCTTCTCTGACTTCACTCAGTATGACAATCTGTAGGTCCATCTGTGTTGCTGTAAGTGACATTATTTCATTCTTTTTAACGGCTGAGTAACATTCCATATGAATATGTACCGCATCTTTGTCCCTTCCTCTGTTGATGGACATTTAGGTTGCTTCCATGTCTTGGCTACAGTAAACAGGCTGCAGTGAACACTGGGGTGCATATATTCTTTTGGATCATGTTTTTCTCTGGACATCTGTGTAGGAGTGAGAGTGCAGGGTCATATGATAGCTCTGTCTTTAGTTTTCTAAGGAACCTCTGTACTGTTCTTCACGGTGGCTATATCTAGTTACATTCCCACCCGCTGTGTAGGGGGGTTCCCTTTTCTCCGCACCCTCTGCGGCATTGTTGGTGGGTTTTTTGATGATGGCCATTCTGACTGGTGTGAGGTGGTATCTCATTGTAGTTTTGATGTGCATTTCTCTTAATAATTAGTGATGTCGGACATCTTTTCATGTGCCTTTTGGTCATCTCTGTATCTTCTCTGGAGAGATGTCTATTTAGGTCTTCTGCCCATTTGTTTACTGGGTTTTTTGATGCTCTGAGGCATCATGAACTGTTCATAAATTTTGGGGACTCATCCCTTGTTGCTCACATCATTTGCAAATGTTGTCTCCGAATCTGTGTGTTGTCTGTTCTTTTTGTTTATTGTTTCCTTTGTTGTGCAAAGTTCTTGAGTTTAAGTAGGTCCCATTTGTTTATTTTCATTTTTATTTCCATTATTCTGAGGAGTCACTTTGTGTAACATTTGATTTAAACACATTGAGTGTGGCAGTTGTCTGATGCCAAAGCCTTATAGGTGACGGTTTTGCACTGACAGGTTTGGACTCCCTCTACAATGGAGAAGTTAGACTTTGACTCCACTAATTAATCTTAGAATCACTATATGGAATGACCAGACATTGCATACTTCCTGATTTGACACAATAGGAAGTATATAGCAACACAGATGAAATACTCTTATTAAAAAAATAAAGGTTTAAGTGGGATTCAATTTCAATCTGACTTTTGAGTTTATAAAAAGTGTGGAAGGAAGAGGCACAGGTGAAATGATACCATGAAGAAACATAATAGCCAACTCCAGTATATGGGACATGGCACAGGACGGATGACATTATTTACTCATCAAGCGATGGCATGTTCAAAGGGAAGGGGACTGTTAAGGAATGAGACTTATGAGGATAACAAAAAAGCAATCATACACCTGCACTAAATTGTTTGTGAACCTTGTAAACAGTCTGGAAGGAGCAGCGTGGAGTTTCTTGAAAAGCCTCAGTTTTTTGCAGAAGGCTTTTAGAGTCAGACTTAGAATTATATCCCAGCTCCACTACTTACTAGTTTTATGATGTCTGAAGTGATTTTTTAAAATTCTTGCAGTCTCATTTTCTTCCCTTTTTAACATGAGGATAATAATAGCCACTTGATTGAATTGCTGTGGGCATTAGAAGGATTATATATGCTAAAGCCCTTAAAAAATGCTTAGTACATACAAGTGCATGCTACATTTTTGCTGCAATACGAGCAATGAATTAATTTCCTCCCAACTTCAAGTTCTTGTGCTTAACTCAGATTCAGCCTACAGCACAACACACAACACCACTAGGTGTCACACCAAGGGAAATTTCATGTGCAGGGTACACAAGTGCTAGATGGCTGAACGAACGAAGATGGAATCCATAGATATGGGTTGTAGAGAGCAGTTACACCCGGAGGCTGAGTGGGGAAGAGAGGGGTCAAGGGCAGAGGTTGAGGTTATCAGATACCAGAAGCTGGAACGAAGGGCTCAAGTAACTGAGAGTGAGCAAAGGGATGCTGCTTGGCTGTGACTCATGCTTGGGATGGGGAAGAAGGGAGGTGATGAAACCTCTTGCTGTTAGGACAGTGCTGAGAGGAACAGCTGATTAATGGGGAAGAACATGTGCCATCTCTTCTTCTGTCTTCCCGTTTCCCTCTAGTGCCTTCTTTTTTGACTATTTAAAATGTTTATATATGTAGGTATGTATTCGGCTATGCCAGGTTTTTAGTTGCAGCATGTGGGGTCTAGTTGCTCAACCAGGGATTGAACCCACGCCCTCTGCATTGGGAGCATGGAGGCCTAGCCACAAGACCACCGGTGAGGTCCACCTTCTAGTGCCTTCTATCAGCAGAAGCCAACAGGAAACCGCTGACAGAGGTGCGACAGGGTGCCAAGCCCCAGCCCCCAGCAGCGCAGAGCTGAAAGGTGAATTTGGGACTGAGAGCGTAGTAGCCAGCTGGGGCTGCATCTCAGAAGCAGAGATCCCCGCCCTGTGCTGTTGGTCCTCTTGTAGGCCGTTTTCTGTGGGGTCATCAGGGACGTGACAGGCTCTGGGACCACGATGCTCTGAGGCATTTTATAGAGTCTGTAACTGGATTGT